AGATATTAATGACTGTGGGCGAGTCATCAAAACAACACCCAAACCACTGCAGCTGAAAATATTCATACTGTTTCTCTGAGCACAAGTGTGCTAATAGAATATTTCAAGAAGATATAAAAGGTATTTGAGATTTAATCTGAGAGATCTCTTTAAGAATACTCAAAGCAGTATTGAACCTATAAAATAAGATTAAATAGTTTGTCATAACTTTTTATGTCTTTATTTAGTTAGTACTAAAAGCACGTCAAGCTGATAGTCAAGGGTTAAATGCAGATTGTATAAGAAACATCAGCTTGTTTTTCAGGAGAGCTTCTTCCTGTTCAACTGGAACATCTGGTTTAACTTTACTTTCGCGTTTGAGACTCTCAATGTTTAAAATTATGTTTTGTGCTGAATGATCTGAAATGATTAAGTCACCGTGATATAGAAGTGTATAAACATTTTCAGGGGATTAAAATTAACGTTTTTTTTTTTTTTTTTGGCACAAAGTTCAAATGACTGTTTTGACAAAAATCAAAAGTTTGTTTAATCAAAGTTTGAGGATTTGATCTTCAGAATCAGACATTTAAATCACACTCACACATAAAACCCCTTCATCATCTCCACAAATTAGCGTAATGTAGAAGTGTTAAACTCACATGCAGAAGTACAGACGCTCTTGTGCAGCAGGAACACAATCTGAGCTCTTTCACTCTTTCACTTCACTAAAACACACCTGTGTGATCTACAGGTATATCCTGAAAAATTAGTGGCACTGACATGAATATTCATGAGATTCTCCTGACTGTAGGGTGTGTCTTCAAGACAACACACAAACCACTGGAACTTAAAGAGCATATTGTAGGTTAAAAAACTGTTTTAAAAAGGTAGAATCGTTTGTGAAAATACTCTATAATACCATTGTGGCGAGGGGGCGTGCCGAGAGCCGTGGGAACGGGGTGAGGCCACCGCGTAAGTGGATACACCTGCGTTGCGCACCTGCCTCGGATCCCACGGAAGGAGCTCTGGACCATAAAAGGAGGACCGATGGCAGAGGAAGCCGAGAGAGAATCGGGCCTGGACTTATTTTACTTTTGCTTTCAGTTTGACGGCAGTCTCCGTGAGGAGCTGCCGTCCGTTTGTTTTGGTTTAGACGGCAGTCTCCGTGAGGAGCTGCCATCATTGTTATTAATAAATATTTTAAACCTGCGTCGGTTCTCCGCCTCCTTCTTCCCGGCGGCGAAGGGCCGTAAACTTCATTACAACCATAAAATACCATATTAAAATGTTTTACGAAGTGCAATGGCACAAATTTTAAAGAAAATGTGTCTGTTTTCCCACTTCCGCTTTTTTTTCTAACCACCCCGGTGACATCAGAAGAGTGACTTATCTGACAGACGCGCGCTGTTTACAGTGGGGCAGAGGAGCTAATAGCAGAACTGGTTGTTAGTTTTGGTGTAATTTATCATCATCGTGGTATATTACTGCGTTTATGGAAACTGCACAAACTCCAGCCTGTCAACAGATCAAGTCCACAAGTTTCCTCTTGCTATTTTGGTTCGTGAAATGGGATGAATCCGATAAGAGCGATAGCTGACTCGAACGGCTAGAAACACTCCTGGATCAGTCGGAGATGCAGCTCGATGGCTGTACACGGTAAGACAACTCGTTTTTCGTTTATGTTTGTCAACTTTCAAGTCCGTAAGCATTATTCTTTGAGTAATTTGAAGCAACGTGATGTGTTTACTTTGGCACTGTAGCACTGCTGCTAGCTTGTATTGTTAAGCATATTAAATATACTTTTTAAAGCATGTAAAAATGTACACATATGATAAGATGGCTAGTAGCATCAGTTTGCTAATATAATAAATGTCTTGTATAGTTACAGCGTTGTGACTTTGTTTGCTTTGGGGTGTGTTTATTAGACTTTGGGAGACAGATTATGACCCGGAGCTAAAGGCTTTCTCTCCACTGGCCTCGGTCAACTGTGCTTCACTTTGGCTCACAGAGTAACCTCAACTAAGGTAAAGTGGATTTTATATTCGCACATTTGATTAGTGACAGCTTGTGTGACACACTCTCAGTATTGTTTACCATAGTACTTTTATTATAATGACTAAAATCACACGTAAATATGACTTAAAAACCACATTAGCACTATTAAACTGACAGTGAACAATGTTGTACTTTGATAGTCATTGGCTGCTAACATGATATTAGGGATTAGCAAATAATACTCTTCTGAAATTATATTATTAGGGAGAAAGTCAGAATGTGTGAATATAAAACCAATTTTACCTCAGACATTCACCTCGTTCATCGGGTAAAATATTATGACCCCTATCGTGAATTATTTGTATGTTACATGGTATTATTTGATAACAAAAACTAGAAGGGCAAAGAATTACTACTATATTTCTATATAATGCAGGCAGGTAAACTCACACTATCTTTGACTTTTTTTTTTTTTTAAATATTGGAAACGTGTTACCATTGACTTCCATATCTGTTTTTCCCACTATAGAAGTCAATGGTTACAGATTTTTAGCTTTCTTCAAAATATCTTGGTTTGTGATCAACAGAAGAAAGTCAATAAGGTTTGAAACCACTTGAGGGAGAGTAAAAAAATTTCCGTCCTGTCAATGAGGAAAGGCACTTTTTATTCACATATGAGGAATATTCATCTTGTAGAAGAAAAACAAATAACATTCAAAAAATTGAAGTTTGTTCTTACATGCTCAACTTCTAATGGGTACAGTCTACTGTATATGTGAGATGGTTTGCAGTTCACTATCCAGGGGTCTGCAAATGTGGTTGGGTTTTCTGTATTGTGTTATATTAAAAATCATATGGTGAATTTTAAAATATACATTATTAATAAACATGATTTAAACTTTTGCATTATTTCCCCAGAATATATGCATCAGCCCTCACTGCGTGTCTGACGGTGGACTACTGGAGTTCATCACAGGCTCGACGAGAATGCAGAAGTGGCCACTACATTTGCTCTCCTTTCTAGATCCTTCCAGCGGGTTTACAAGGATGAAGCTGTCGGCATCTTTTTACACAGCATTCACAATTTAACACACATCAAAGACATGATGGTGTGGCCAACTTACTGAAAAATAATTTTAGGTTACTTTTAAATGGGTCAGATGATATATTTTCCTTTCAGTATTCACACACTCACACAGATACTTATACATATATAAAGAGTAAAAATGCTGGGTATTAACACTGCTTATGATTTTGTGCTATATGAATAAAACTTGAACTTGAGTTGCATTTAGAATTTGAACTTGAATTAGGGTTGAAGTTTATTTAATCATAAATGCAGATCAGATCTGTTGATCAAATCTTTGTAAATAATTTATACTATAACAACTGTACTTGTCTTTTTTATGGGTTGTAGCCTAAATGGGATCTGATACAGATAATCTTATACCCAATGAAAAAAAGACATATTTAAAAACTTATTTTAATTGTTTTAATATTTGATGTTGTTTTTATTTTAATACAAAAGCTCTGAAAACCTTTTGTAAAATAAAAAAGATTTTCCAGTACCTTGTTTACATGTTTCTGCATTATTCCAGACGTTCTGTGTTATTTGTGTTTTGTATTCACTTATCTACTATTAAAAATAGTGTCAATGTGGCATAACTGTGTTAAATGGACCCCAACAACTTAGCTAATATATAGGCCTATTTCAACAAATCAGCGCATATATTCAGGCCTACTTCTATTATGCTCTTTTCTGCAGACCAACAATATTTTTGAAGTGTTGTTTCAGTCCGGTTTCAGGGCTCATCACAGTACAGAAACCGCATTAGTGAAAATAACCAATAATTTACTCTTAGCTGCTGACCAAGGGTGCATCTCGCTATTAGTTTTACTCGATCTTAGTGCGGCATTTGACACCATTGACCACAATATCCTCATAAATCGCTTAAAGTCTACAGGTGTCCAGGGACAAGCTCTACAATGGTGTAAGTCATACTTAACTGACCGTTACCAGTTTGTGAATATTAAAGAGCATATTGTAGGTTAGACACCCCAGTGAGACAATGTGCAAGAGTAAAGTAAGAATTAGATTTTCTTTAAAATATACGTTAAAGTTTATTATTAAGCCGTTTGGAGTCGTTTTAAGTCACAGAAATTTACTTCCATGTTTGAATCGCCAGACCGGAAGTGCAACGGATCAGTGAGTTTGCGCATATAAACACTATGAAGACAACTGATCGTGGTGCGCATTTGGTTGCCGAGAAAAGACATTCTGAGAGACTCACACAAACGACAGACCACAGCCATACAAATATAAGCCTGTGGACAGACCGGCAGACAGAACAGCAGTCTGGGAAGTGTAATTTAACTCTTTTGTGAGGGAGAATAGAGCAGGTTTATGGTGAGGCCAGTGTTGGCTTACAGAGAGATATGTAAGATAACAAAATCTTATCTGGTCGTGGTCGTTATCTGGTCTGGTCTCATCCCACACCGAAGCTGCGGTCACACTAGAGTTTGAGCATGCAAAATTGTGTTGTTTGGCGCTGCGAAAAGGGGTGGGATTAAACAAGATGATTAGACATAAAAAAAGTGAGCGATTGGTACATATTTTACATTTCTGTCCATAGAGGTCATGTTTTTATCTTTAATTGGTCTCACAGTCAAGTGATGAGATTTCGCGGGTCAGAGTTCACCAAGCTTAAACTTTGCAACGCAGTGAACTGCGAAACTTAACACACAAACTTGGTTTGTGGTCTGACCCATTCCGTGCTTATGAAAGGAAATCTATGGGGAGAAAAGTCCAGTGTGACCGTGGCTTAAGTGAAAGTGAATGGTTTCTCTCCAGTGTGGATTATCATGTGTCGATTAAGGTGTGATGATCCGCTGAAACTCTTCCCACATTGAGTGCATGTGAATGGTTTCTCTCCAGTGTGGATCCTCATGTGAATCTTAAGATCCCATTTTCTTCCAAAACTCTTCCCACACTGAGTGCATGTGAATGTGTTCTCTCCAGTGTGGACCCTCATGTGTTTATTAAGGCATGATAAGCAGTTTAAAGTCTTTCCACACTGGGTGCAAGTGAAGGGTTTCTCTTTAGTGTGGATCTTCTTGTGTCGATTAAGGTGTGATGATAGGGTGAAACCCTTCCCACATAGAGTGCATGTGAATGGTTTCTCTCCGGTATGAATCATCATGTGTTCATTAAGGTGTGATGATCGGCTGAAACTCTTTCCACATTGAATGCATGTGAATGGTTTCTCTCCAGTGTGGACCCTCATGTGTTCATTAAGGCATGATGAGTAGTTAAAAGTCTTTCCACACTGGGTGCAAGTAAAGGGTTTCTCTCTAGTGTGGATCTTCTTGTGTCGGTTAAGGTGTGATGATAGGGTGAAACTCTTTCCACATTGAGTGCAAGTGAATGGTCTCTCTCTAGTGTGGATCTTCATGTGTTCATTAAGGTGTGATGATCGGCTGAAACTCTTTCCACATTGAGTGCATGTGAATGGTTTCTCTCCAGTGTGGATCCTCATGTGAATCTTAAGATCCCATTTTCTTCCAAAACTCTTCCCACACTGAGTGCATGTGAATGTGTTCTCTCCAGTGTGGATTGTCATGTGAGTCTTAAGATCAAAATTTCTTCCAAAACTCTTCCCACATAGAGTGCATGTGAATGGTTTCTCTCTGGTATGAATCATCATGTGTTGATTAAGGTGTGATGATCGGCTGAAACTCTTCCCACACTGAGTGCATGTGAATGGTTTCTCTCCAGTGTGGATCCTCATGTGTTCATTAAGGCATGATGAGTAGTTAAAAGTCTTTCCACACTGGGAGCAAGTAAAGGGTTTCTCTCTAGTGTGGATCTTCTTGTGTCGGTTAAGGTGTGATGATAGGGTGAAACTCTTTCCACATTGAGTGCAAGTGAATGGTCTCTCTCTAGTGTGGATCTTCATGTGTTCATTAAGGTGTGATGATCGGCTGAAACTCTTCCCACACTGAGTGCATGTGAATGGTTTCTCTCCACTGTGGATCCTCATGTGAATCTTAAAATCCCCTTTTCTTCCAAAACTCTTCACACACTTAATGCAGGTGAAACGATTCTGGTCTCTCCTTTTCAAAATGCCATCAGTCTGTAAATTAGTTTTTTCCTCAATTTTGACATGATGTTGGTCCTCTTTCCTCCCCTTATTCTCTTCAATTAGGTCTGAAATAAATAAAAGTCTTTAGTTTTCATTAAGTCTTAAAACTCTCATCAAAAGCTGAAAAGTGAAAAGACACTGGAAACATTGGCTACACACACTGTAATTTTGATGCATGGCGAATGTAAAATAAACCAGATCATATTTTGTTTGGTCCATTAACGTGTCCACATTTAAGCAGATTCCATTCATCTTTATTTATCTAGTGCTTTTACAATGTAAATTGTGTCAAAGCCGCTTAACAGAAGTTATAGTGAATTGAAACTGTGTCAGTCCAGTTTCCAGAGTTTCTTACATAATTGATCATAAAAGCCATTTTGGTCATATGGATAAGACACAAATTTGAAAGCTGTAAATGGCTATTTTTAAAACAAAATGTTTTACTAAAATTTGTAAAGCAGACAGGGAATACTTGTTCATTCTGTGCCTAACTGGTCAACATATCAGAAAAAAAGTTCTGGGGTAAGAGCTGAATATTTGCCTCGCAGACATGAGACATACCTGTCCAGCATCTGCATAAAGGCTGGAATGTGCACATTTCTCCTTGTGTGCTGTTGGGTCAGTTTCATCTATTCTAGGGGATTTTAAAGCTAAATTTGGCCAAAGCTTTCTCTGTGTTTCAGAAAACGGACTGATATTTAGGGGACATCTTATTTTAACATATTCTGGGAAAATGATTTGAAAAAAAAAACAATACACTCTGGGCAAATTTACTCCCTTTTCATTATATTCATGGCTGTTTTTTTCTCCATTGACCTCTATTATAAGAACATTTTTTTATTGCAAAGCCATGACAGCATATAATCATGCATTTATGATAGTTGGTGTTTTCTGTGACGACAGTCAACATTGTTTAATTGGTCTACACCCATAAGACGGCAAAAAGGAAATGGGTGAAAGTATAAAGAAAGAGGAGGAGAGTTGAAGAGGGCAGCATTATGTGGTGTGCGGAAGAAAGAGAAGTTGACTGAACTGTTGCAGTGCAGGAAACGAGTAGAGAAACTGTTGAGACGAGCAGTGTAAACTTAACGATTGGCTGTGAGAAACAAAAAGCGAAAGTACTTACTGAAGCAAACATAAAGTCCCTTTAAGTACTCTACAGTCTTTGATTCAGATTAAAGTGTAATTTAAAGATTAATTAGGTTATGTTATCTAGGAAAGTTGGAATAATTAATCAAGTTATTGTATAACTGGTTTGTTGTGTAGACAATCAGTAAAATATACAGTAAATATTTCTTAAAAAAGCTAATAACACTGACTTATTTTTTTTTTATTATTAAAACAGCTTTTATTCAAGAAATAAACTATAAGAAATAAGACTTATTATGACTCCAGAAGAATTATTTGTGTTTTATAGGAAATATTGTGAAAATCTCCTTGGATTAATTTAGATCACTTGGGAAACATTATTTTAAATTAATGGGAGGGGGAAAAAATGGATTTCAACTGCATCTGTTAAAGTTTACAGGTGTAAAAATGTGCCTTGATGTACTGGAATGTTTAAAATGTGTTATCCTACAATACAAAGTTACTTGTCAAATAAATGAACATGGAAGATTATTTCGAGTTTAAGTTATTTAATTAGCTTATTTATAAAGACAGTGCAGCACAGTGGCGCGGTGGGTAGCACAATTGCCTCACAGCAAGAACGTCTCTAGTTCAAGCCCTGGCTGGGTCCGTTGGCATTTCTGTGTGGAGTTTGCATGTTCTCCCCGTGTTGGCGTGGGTTTTCCCCGGGGTGCTCCGGTTTCCCCCACAGTCCAAAAACATGTGGTATAGGTGAATTGGTTAAGCTAAATTGTCTGTGGTGTATGAGTGTATGGGTGTTTCCCAGCGATTGGTTGCAGCTGGAAGGGCATCCGCTGCGTAAAACATATGCTGGATAAGTTAGTGGTTAGTTACTGTTTTTAAGGTAATGTAATCTCCCAACATACTCAATACTCTTGGAAGTCGACAATTTTGTAAAATTTATTGATGCTCAAATTGATTAATTGATTGAAATAGATTATTTCATATCAAGCTAGTGCTAATAAAAAAAGTCAAAACGGCTTACAGAGATGAATAATATTCAATTGATCAGCTACACTTAACATCACCTTCCGAAGAGCTCAATAAGAAAAGACTTCTTCTGAAAGCGGAATATTTATTTATTTATTTATTTATACAGGGACAATGTACAACATGACATGTTGTGCCCGAGTTAGCTATAAAGCTAATTTACATCTGTAGTCCCTGGGCAGGAAGTAACAAATTTAACAGTAACAACCAATACAATATACACTTACAATACAATACATCATTGTCAATAAAATCAATATCAAATCAGTGGTTGCATATTTGATTTTGTTTGAGCCAAATTTTAAGAACAGTTTTAAAATGATTAAAAGTGCTGCTCTCTCTGATATAAACTGGTATTTTATTCCATCTTTCTGCTGCTTTAACTGAAAAAACTGATTGTCCAATAGCAGTTCTCTTAAGTTTAACTGAACAATCACCTCTAACAGATGACCTAGTCTGTCTTATATTGTCCTTGCCGACAATCACACATTGTTTGAGGGGTGGTGGTGCAAGATCATGAAATATTTTATAAATTAAACACACATCAGCACAAAATAAGAAACTGTCGAATGTTAGTAATATGACACCCTGACAAGTAAAAATGCAGAGGATCTCCACATAAGATCAAGCCAGATTCATTATGAACATGGTGAACGAGCTGGCAGGTTATTGTGTTACCAACTGACACAATCCTCAGCAGCTGATTTTATAGCAGCAGTTAATATGGATGATGCAGTATTATTACTGATAAACAGGGATTTAATGGTCAATTTAAAAACTTCTATAAAACTCTTTGCAGCTCTGAGGTAAACGAAATTGAGCGTATTCAGAGCTTTTTTATATATTTAGAATCACCGTCCCTCTTTGATTCAGATAAGTTGGCATTAGAAAGAAGTATAACACCTTCTAAAATAGAAAATGCAATCATAAAATTGAAAACCAAAAAAGCACCAGGCCCTGATGGCTTCCTGGACGAGTTTTATAAAAAGTTTACTGCCAAGCTAACACCCCTGTTGTGCAAGGTATTAGGTATAAGAATGCACTTAAATGTGAATCTTATCTTCCGATCAGCTTACTCTGCTGTGATTATAAGATCCTGGCTAAAGTGCTGGCAATCAGAGTGGAGTCAGTCATGAGAAAGAGAATTTACCCATATCAAACTGGTTTTATTGTTGGGAGACAGTTATCTTACAACCTTCGTCACTTATATAATAGTATTTATTTATTTTAATTTCTTTAGATGTCCATAAGGCATTTGATAGAATAGAGTAGATCTATTCATTTACAGCGCTTAAAAAATTTGTTTTGGCCCTGGATTCTGTTCCTGAGTTAAAATTTTATATTCCAGGCCCCGAGCATCCATTCGAACAAATAACATAATTTCTAAATGCTTTTCACTCTCTCGGAGAACGAGACAGGGCTGCCCTCTGTCCCCTCTGCTCTGACAGTGCCATCAAACCTCTTGCAACTGTATTAAGGAACTCAGATGGCTTGTGAGGAATTTTCAGAGGGACACGAACATAACCTCCTGCTATAAGTGGATGATCGTTTTCTTTTTCTGTCAAGTCCAGATACATGTATTCCAAAAGCTCTTACAATAATTTCAGAATTTGAAAATGTTTCTTGATACAAAGTCAATCTAGCAAAGAGTCTCCTTTTCCCTATCAATGATAGAGCACAGCAAATGTCTACCCAAACCTTTCCATTTTCAGTAAGTCCTGATAAATTAGTATACAAAAATGTATCCAGTGTCAGATTCATCTTGCTCCAGATGTGGTTTGTAGCCAGCAGATCTGAGTCATATTTTCATGGGGATGCCCTAAATCAATGTTTCTCAACTGGTGGGTGGCGACCCAAAAGTGGGTCACAGGAACATTTTCAGTAGGTCGCAGAGTTTTAAAAAGTTTATTAAAATTTAAATTTTTAACCTATTGTGACTTATTTTGAAATGCGTGCATGTTTGACGTGTGAAATTTCATTTAATTATAGCAACAAATATGTCGAAGCGCAAGTACGACCCTGAATATGTAAAGTATGGATTTACATATATTGATAACAAAAAAGCCTTAGTGTGTCATAAGTAGCAAGGTGCTCTCACAAGACAGCTCGAAACCTTCTAAATTAAAACGACATTTAGAAACCAGACATGGTTTATTAACAGTTCAGTTTAGTTCATGGTAACTGAACCTTTCCTTATGCTAACCACTGTTTACAGAATTTGTTGTTTTTACTTTGTAATATTTCTACAATTTGATACATTTTGTTAAATGACGGCAATAAAATATTGTTTATTTGTAAGTCTTGGTGATTTTCTTATGATTTATCTGTCACTACTTGTGTATGTTAACAAAAAAATACAAATTAATTATAATACCTAATTATTATAGTTCCTAAAAATTTGGGTCGCGGCTTGAGGACCATGTAAAAATGTGGGTCCCATGGCCAAACCAGTTGAGAACCCCTGCCCTAGATTACATAAGTTTTGTACTGATATTTTAGATCATTTTCATCTATATGTGATAAATATATGGATCCTAATCCTTTGACCTCAATTTTTGGTACAGTGCCGGAAGAAATGTACCTATCAGCTAATCACATAGAAATAATTGCCTTTTCTTTGACCAGATGCCCGATTCTTCTCGGGTGGAAAAACACAAACCTGCCATCCCACAGACATTGGATATTAGAAGTGTTATCACATCTTAAACTCGAGCACCTTAAGTACACCATATGAGGCTCTACAAAAGG